GGAGAAGCGGCGTTTTTCGTGTCCTCGCTCAAGGACATGCCCCAGCATGAAAAGAATGGGTTAGGGGTGAGTTGTACCCACGTTTACACTGCAGGAGATATTGGGATACCTCTGGAATTTCAGACACTGGTTAAACACAATCAAATACTTGTCTACATACTGTCTGTATCCAAACTGCTGCAATATATTAACATCTGGCAGCTGAAAGGAGAGTTGAAGCTTATTGTCCCACTGTTTATAGTAAGCAACATAAATGACTGAAACGGGATTTTGAAGTATTTGCTGTCAAACCACTTGAAAGAATATGTTTGCATATTTATTATCACTTATAACCCACCTTTCTCATGACCGTGATCCTGATAGTGAAACCCTCCAAACTGTGAGTCCTGGTAGGGTTTTGGTAGAAGCTACTGGTGATCTTCAGGTCAGCCTTGGTGTTTGAGAGCACAGGAGGGACCAAGAGGCACCAGCCAAGATGCCCCTTTGCAGACACAAGGATATCGTGGCCAAGCAGGAGGAGGAGAAGACCATGCACGTTCTGGATGAAAACCACTGATCTGGCTCCCCAGTATTATAATCAGCCAGGCACTCTGTTTGTTTTGCTTCTGGGCCTCGTAGCTATCAGGTTTTCTCCTAAATTTCAAGCAGCATTCAGTATGGTTTAAGGTAGGGCTATGTATTGTGTACTATAGCTTCTTTTTTCTTTTTTTCTTTTTTTCTTTTTTTTTTTTTTCTTTTTTTCTCTTTTGCTCCCTTCTGAGGCAAATTGAAACTTCTCTCTTGCTGACTGTACCGAGCTTGTTTAAATAACAACCTCATACCCATGCGACAATAATACGCCTTAAACTGACACGGCTGAAAACGGAACCTTCTTAATTTCAGTTCCATCCGAAACATGGGCAGGGAAGATCATCTACGCTCCCCAAGCAGAGTGAGGCAAGATGAGGAGTCCCAGACAAACGGAAGAAGCTCCTTGGGCTTGAGGGAGCACCGTGAATATTTCTACCTCATGGGCACTGGATATTTAATGTAATTCATTTTGCAACGTGTATTGATGATAAGATTTTCTTTCTTTAGCCAATACTCAAGATGGATTCTCAGATATTCTCAGATACCTCCTGACAGAGCTACAGTTGTCGGAAGTTGAAGGWCCCTAAAGGCTTAGCATCATTTTTTGGGCTGAGGCTCCAGGTTACCGCAATGGATAAATTCCTGCTCTTGGCCAACATTGCCTTTTTTTGCAGCGATCAGTAAAGCAACATTGCTACAATTTTACTTAGWTGTTCCAATAAGGCAATAGCAGCTGCAAAAGCGAGGGCTGCCCTAAGTTAATGCGTTGTGCATTGAACTCTTCTCAATAAGGAAGTGGGAAACCTCACTGAGACAACATGATTTTTTTTTCTCAAACTAAATGTCAATCTGAAACTGCTACCGAACATTAGCACTCAATCCAGGAGAAGAAATCTACATGCTTTGAAGCCAATATATGAAGTTTTTGGTGTATTTTAACGCTCTTACCCAAGTCTKTCTTTCTTTCTTAAGCGAAATACARGTCTGTTCCACAAAATGTGGCCTAAAGTTCTCCAAAGAGCAGCTTGGCAAGGGAGACTGGGCCAAGCAGAGCRCGCAGGGTCGGATGCTGTGATGTTCTGCAGAGCACTTAGGGGTGTTTGCCCTGCTTTGTCCAGGTGCGCGTCTCTCTGGGTGCAAAGCAACCTCATTTAGCAAYGAAACGGTCTTTGAAGGTCCCAGCTACAAGTCACTTGCGGTGGAAGCAGCCGGCGTTGGGATGGAAGATCTGCCGAGGATGAACCTTGGCTTGTTTGAAGAAGGATGGGAGAGGGAGGGGATTTTCAAGGGAGTGGTGAGCACAAGGGTGCCCCTTGTCTCAGGAGGGTTTGAGCGTCCCCTTCGTTGTGACTCCCTGCACGTCTGGGGTGGCKTGTCCTCTACGATGGGCTGCCACCGGAGCGTGGACGTTATCTGAGGAAGGAGTTGCCGCTGCCGCCAGCCAGTGTCTCCGMAACGTGAGTGATGCTGTGCCCGGCTTTCGTGCTCTCAAAACGTTCTTTCTGTTTTAYGGCAGCGAGAGCTAACAGAGAACTAGATGAGAGTGTGAGATCGTAGCAAAGATAAGGGCAAGGAGCTTGCAAAGGCCCCGTGTGGGCGAAGGATGCAGTTTGCCTCTGTCTGCTGTGTTACCTGATGACTTTCTCTTCCTTCGGTGTACGCAGGACTTTGCTGCCTTTGAGGGAGGAAGAAAATTGGCAATTTTGGAATCAAGAATTACAGTTGAACCTACATGACTTGGTCAAGGGGAAGGAAAGCTTTAAAAACCAAAGGAGCAGTTTTGGGGAAGAAGCAATGACCCTCCAGCTCCACAGCTTGTGGCTCCCAGTGTTGACTCTATAAATTATGGCTGTCCATGGAAATGCCCATTGTGCTGGCAGGTAAAGGGGCCCCCAAAGCCACTCTTCCAGCATGTCTCACCTTGGGTAAAGCCTCTCCTCACCGATCTTGCTGTGGACTTCAGGTATCCAGGCCGCATTCCCAAGGCTTCCWTTTATCAAAAAGCTTCCTTTTATCAAAAAGCTTCCTTTTATCAAAAGCTTTATCAAAAAATAGCTATGCACAGTATGAATGGGACTTGCAATCGCCCCCCCAAAGGGGCAGTGAGATGAGTCTGCCTTGTTCAATGTGAAATATTGCCCGCAGGAAAATTATGCCTCCATGAGTCCTGAAAAGCTCAGGCTTCTAAAAATCACAGCTTCTCCCCAAATTCAAATTGCATACTGTAAAGTAGTTGGGTTTCTGCTTCTCCCATGGACCTGAAAATTCTGTGGAAACTGTTAAACCGGGCCGGGCTTGCAGTGCCGGTGCCTACGCAGCCTCCTTAGGCCTGAGTCACGCATTAAGCCGGCTGCTCCGCGCCGGCCTGGACGACGTTGCTTTTACAGGAACTATCCCTGCTTTTTTTTTTGCACTTGGCAAGCGAAGCACCTACTTTGTTGACTTCAGTCTCAGTGATATTTCTAGGTTGCTCTTTTCCGTTTCAGACTTGCGATCCTGCCTCTCCGCTCTCTCTGTTGTCTTTGAATTCAGGCTGGGGGCGATGGGCAGAACCCTGCGCTGCTGGGCAGGGGCACCAGCTTTGCCCTGCAGCCCTTCAAGGTGAGGAGCAGGCAAGGAGAAAGAGAGTTAATGCAAATCGGGAGAGAGTGAGTACAAAAATAGCTCTGAACTTGTCAGTTTGGTCACTGGTGGCTTGGGTTAGTCATCTGGCAGGCTGCCTCTCTGCTGCTCCCAGGGATTATTTTACAGCGCTGAGATTTGACATAATTTCTGGAGCGGAGAGGCGGGGGGCGCCGGGGGCCCCGTCATCGGTGCTGCTCTGGCCGCAGCTGTTCCGTGTTGCTCCGTGTGCCCGCATTGACGCCTCTTGTCTACCTGCCAGGTTGTTGGGTGACTCACTGCGAATCGCCCAGGCTCCTGCCCTTGGCTCCCAACCCTCCCTCCTGCTTCCCCTGCTGGCGCCGAGCACCCTTTGGTGCCCGGTCTGGAGCTTTCCCCGCTCAGCCTCGTGTTGCTGGCCTTGTTGCCCCTGGGAAACAGATTGAAAAATAAAGGGAAAAAAAAAAAAAAAAAAGAGAGAAAAGCAAATCCCTGTTGCAGATTCAACCCTCACGGGACGTGCTCTGGTAACAGTTCCGTTCACTTGTGTTTGGTGGCTGCCGCTTTGCTGCGGCCGGGTCGGGGATGCTGGACGCCGGGACGCGCTCCCTCGGCATTGTGCGTTTTCGTGCCGGGTTTAATGATGGAGATGTTTGCGTTCAGCCTTCACACCTGAACTGTGAGAGGGCTGTGGGACGAGGAAATGACCCTRTGGCTAAGGGGTGAGAAAGCGTGTTCTGGCTGAAGGGAAAGCGGCTGCGTTCTGCCTTTCTTGGAATGCAGGGTAGGGGGCACGGGAGCTCAACCGGAGCCTGATTTCCTGCGGTCTTGTGCTCAGGGGGTTTGTAGGAAACTCCTAACTCCACACATTGCTGATTCCCCACGATACCCCCTTATCCTGCCTTGCTCCCAGGCTTCCTTAATGCTTCTCCTTTTCCATCCTCATGTCCCTCCCACCTTGCTCTGTTTTGCCAACTGGCCAAGACTGGGCGAGTGCTKGTGCTTTGTCTGGAGCTCCCTTTGCACTAGCTGGTCGGCTAGAGCCCGGCCTGATTGACTCGCCAGCCGCTGCCATGCGGAGGGGACAGGACCTGACCTTGACCTTCCTCTTTTTCCAGCTCCCTCATACTCCTTTTCCCAACATCAACTTTAACCTGATTAACATTAGCCTGATATACAGGCTTCTTTTTAGTTGCCTGAGGATTTCAAAGCTATTGGCAAGCAAGGGGCAGGCAGGGTGCRCGGGAGGAGCTGTGGGCAGGCGGGCGCGTTGCCCAGCCCTACTTCATTGGAAGGAAAAATGGGGAACGGATCTGAGAGTGTCTGAGTCCAAGGAATACAAAAATGAGCAGTATTTTCTGAACGTTTAGGTGGTTTGTATTGTAGGGACACAGGGTAATTTCTGCTAGATGCACAGAGAATATGCAGCCAGTGGATCTGATCTCTCGTGTCTCTTCTTTTTGTGAGTATTCTTCTGGTTTAAGAAGAGCTCCCTCTTCTATGTYACTCCATCTGTATTTAAGCTATGGGAATATAACAAGAAATCCATTTTGTATTGAAACCTAARTGGTCTCAGTACTAAACTAATGGTTTAGTACTGAAGATAACACTGATTGTTCATCTCTTCTGTTGTATCAGTCAGGGGTGGTGAGCTGGCAGTCCTGGCTTCTTATTTAGCTTCTTCATCAGAGCTTGGGTAGGACCTTGATTGGGATAAATTATTTTGTAACTGATACCTTCAGCTGCCTTCTTCCTCGTGAAATTGAAGCCACTCCTGCCTGTGAAGCTGTATCATAACCAGTGTTTTTTGTCGTTGTTACTCAGTGCCTCTCTGAACCTGTGAAATGGCAGTGATGGGAATTACATGCCAAGGAGCTCCTGACCCGAACATCAAGCACAAGAAGGAGCTCACAACAACGAAGGGAYTGAACGAGACAGTGAGTGAAAAGCAGAGCAGTGTCTGCAAAGTAGAAGATTCCAAGAAGGTCACCTTTCACAGTCCTTGGAAAATCCTGAATGATGTAATCACCAAAGGAACAGCAAAAGAAGAAACAGAAGGCGGCTCTGCATCGATTTCTATTATTGCCCAGGCAGAATGTGAGTAGCAGGGCGGTTTGCTCTTCATTGAGAAAAAGGCATGTGTAACACGGTGTGCAATTTCGCTCACTTTGAGCTCCTGGAGAGCTGAGCTGAGTTCTATTTGTAATCCCAAGTGGGGTGGAATTGGTGACACATCCCAGTCTCTATTTAGGCAGCTCATGAAATCTCTTAATAATGTGGCAGCATCTACTGAATAAAGCAGAAATAACAGCCATATGGCCATAACAACCAGCTTTGCTGACTACAAATGTGTCCCACCGCATCGTCTATTTTTGATTGACTGCTGAAAGGTGTTAAAAAACAGCTTTTGGGTGAGAAAGAGCTTGTGGCATCAAGGGATCACAGTGCTGGGAAGAAATCTAATGCTGGGGGAGGAAGAACGTGCTGCAGGGACGTGGCGTGACCGTGTGTGGTGATGTTCGCGTCTGGATCGCYGCTTGGGTCAGCAGGGTGCCCGAGGGGCTCCTCAGGCCAGTTCTTACCAACGTGTGTCCTGTTCTCTTCACGCAGGTGAAAATAGCCAAGAGTTCAGCCCTACTTTATCCGAGAGATCCTTCATTGCCCACAGTAAGCGCTACAGGTAGGAGGTCTCTTAATACAAACGCCCAGCGTCGCTGTTCTGTGCACTGACTTGTTTCAAATCGCGCTAGCTCTGTGTACGTGCACCTTTTTGCTCCAGAACTCCTCCTTCTTGAAGAAGCTTTTGCTAAGGATGTGTCTTTTTCCCAAGAATCTTCTTCAAAACCTTTTTGTATGAGGAAGAAATAGAAGTGCACACCGCTCAAAATACCTTGCGTGTATCCAATTACCAATGACTGCTCTTTTGTTAACCCTTGTAATCTGCCTGGGTATCTAGGTTGGTGGGTTTGTTTCAAAACGAAGGCCAAGAGATCTTTTTCATGTGAGGTTCATGGGCCTGAAGTAGAAAGATTCAAGGCGCAATTTTTGGTCTTCTCTAACTGAAATTGGGAAATAGAATAAGATGCTGCCTGGTCTGTGGCAGATTTCAGGTGCTGAATCTGGCCTTGTGAGGTTTGMCATCGCCCACTAAGTTCATAACACTGCCCCATGAAGCAGCTGCAGAGAGGCAGAGTGGGGCAGTTCTTGGGGGATGTGTGTGGCAGGCACAGCAGGGCCCCAGCTCTGCTTGCTGCATCTGGTAAGCGTTGAATGGTGCCCCGAGACAGCAGAGAACCGTGGAGGAGGCTGAGCTGGCTGTGAGCTCTGTCACTGTTCCATAAAGGCAGAGAACTGTTGCAAGGATCAACAGAACAATTACAGTTTCTTCATTTGAAGATGAGTTTTCCTGTTTCCTTTCACAACTATCAAGATTGTATTGAATAACTGCAAGCAAATATTCTTCTTTAGAGATTCATCGGTTTGCATAGGCCCCCACRTATTGTTCTGGCCAGCGCTGCTTTATATACGTATGATTTCCTAAAAAAGGGATTGTAGCATTATAATAATTGAGCTCTACATGCCAGCAGTTTTTGGCTCTTTGAAGCTGTTTAATTTCAGTTCCCTTAGTCACCATTTTCTCTTGGTGCACAGATTAAATATATTCGAATAGAGAAGATGTTTATATTGTAAGTGCTTTTATTATTTTTAACAAAACTTTTAAATAGATTTTATTTATATTTGACATATTTATGCCCTAGAACTCACAGCCATACGTTGTCCCAAAGTGACCTGGAACAGGTCACTGTTCTTTCACTGTCTTTCACTGTCTTTCACTTTTTCACTGCTTTTCACTGTCTGCTCTGCCCTCTAGTCCTGCTGTTCTGTGAAGAATTTGTGAGTGCTGCACAGACAATACTTTGTGTTCTTTTTTTTCTTTCCTCCTCTCCCCTTGTACTTATTGTCTTAAAATGATTCTGCTTTGATGTCAAAAATCTGATTTGTTGCATTTTAGAATGCATTTTCCATTCTTAAAAATCTCCAAAGACAGTATTGCWAATTCTCATTCCTGTTCTGTTGTTAATTGAAAGTATGCTTCTTACCATCAGATTTAAAGGACTTTATGACTTTGTGCTCTTTTATTTTTTCCATAGCCGGTCAGACAGTCTTGATCAAATCCCTAACAATGTGGCCCACGCAACGGAGGGGAAGATGGCGCCGACCTGTTGGAGAGGGAGGCATCGTGGTAAAAACAGAAAGAAACGGCATAAAAAAAGATCCAAGCTGAAAATACAAACAGTAGCTGCTGGCAGACGTGGTCCCAGAACTCCAGAACAGGAAAGCTGCGCCCCAATTCCAGTCCAGGTGCGCGCCGGTTTTACACACTGCGTTTGTATTGTTGGGTCCCCTGCGAGCTGCTACAGTTCTTGACTGAATTTTGGGAGGCTTCACTGAGGTTCCTGCTCAGTTGTCCTGTTTTGTTTTCTAGGAGGATGAAGCACACCAAAGTACTCTCTACAGAAACAATTTTTGGGTTTCAGAACTTGGCAAGGATTTGGCCTATGACCCCCTGCTGTTTGAGAAACCTGGGAAACTTCTGTCCGCTGGCAAAGTCCCTTCACCAAGGAGCCAGTACAAAACAGAACTGCACAAGCTGATCAGCCCTGTTCAGTGCCTTAGTCATGTTTGGAAACGTCACTATCAGAGGGACAGTGTTCCACAGCCTGAAACGCTTCACCCTTTCCCATACAACATAATACCTCCTCATTTCCCACCCCTGGAGAGTCCTCTCCATGCCATGAAACTTAATGCACTGGGAACATACTGCCCTGGTGATTTCAACTATGCAGACAGTGAGCATCGCTTATCTAGCCTAAACTTAGAATGCAGTTTCCCCAGATGTGTCAACCAGTCCATGAAAACCAGTTCGGACAAGATTTCTGTGGAAGAATACTTGGTAGACGCCTTGAAGGGGAGCGTGAGTTTCGGTGAACCGCAGAATTTAGCCAGCCTAGCCAAGACGTGGAGAGGAGGCGGTCTGGACCTGAAGGAACCATCGCAAAAAGCAGAGGACAACGAAGGCGTGCTGCTTAACGAGGTGATCTCCTGACCTTGCCCCTGGTGCAGTGCTAGGCAGAGTTCCTCTTGCCTTTCGGGAGAGAGAATCTGCAGCCGTGTGCTGGCCTCTGTAKCAGGACGGCCGTTTCTGAAGGGTTCTCATGATGTGGCTGGAGCCCGACACTTTACAGAAGGGTATAAAACCCTTTCTSAGAGACTGGAGCTCCAGTTGGTTTAGTCGTTCGCAAAACAAGGATGGCTTGTTCAAAAACCTAAGAGAAGCGGCTCTGTTGGTGGCCAGTCTTCCAAAACGCTTTCTCTGTTTGTGGAAGCATCCAGACCATTCAGGTGGACAGGCTGCATTAGTTGATCGATTATAAGATGGCCTGGATAATTAACACCAACAGTAGAAGGTACCTGTAACCTGTACATCACAGAGGTGCAGAGAGCCTGTCTGCCACCTCTGCCAGTAAACCAAAAATTTACCCCTGTCCCATGGTAAAGGCAGGAGTTTGACCCAGCAGATGCCTGTAAATCTTCCTGATTCATCTCTCCTAACCGCAGCTCTTTTCCAGCCTCCCTAAACTCCTCTTAGAGGACTTTGCAGTTGGTGACAACCCTATCGTATTGTYGTGCAGTTGAGGATGTGACTTACCTGCCTGACACATCTACCCTGAGATCCAAGGCACAGGTCTTCTCCCTCTCCTACCTATAGAAAGGATCTAGCTCCCACGTAGAGATCTACATTTAGTTGGATGGATCTTTTGTTCATAGGATTTCAGTTCATAACAATATCCTCCATGTGAAGGCAGGAGTCTGGACCTCCAAGCTGCCCTTTTTTAGGACATAGGGATGCAGTTATTTAAATCAAGCAGCACGTGCAGAATCTGGCAGATCCTCCCATATCCTCTCACCTCAAACCAGTGACAGAAGCAATTTTGCACTGGGAGAAGCTGTGATACCATTGCACCTTTTCTGAATATTTTATCGTCTCCCTCTCTCTCTAGAGCTTGGCATGTATGTTTTTCTATGCTTGTTTCAACTCATTTTCTGATTTTTGACCCYTAGAAACTAAAGCCAGTGGATTATGAGTACAGAGAAGAGATTCACTGGAAGAAGTGTCACGGTTCTCTGGGCATTGGCTCTTTTGGAGAAGTATACAAAATAGAGGACAAGCAGACAGGATTTCAGTGTGCTGCCAAAAAGGTAATCTAGATGTAGAAGAGTAGAGATTTCCAAAAGATTGTGAGTGCATGCTTAGTTGGTAGGGGTGGGGGAAATGTTCCTGGAGTTTTCTGCTTATATAAATATTCCCATCTTTAAAAATATCCATTATAAATGATGACATTGCAAGTGGTTCTGTGCTGAAGAGTGAGTAAAATAGGGAAAAGATAAGGTGATGAGTAAGAACACAAAAAGGAGAGAGTTTTCTTCTGCTCAGTGAGCATCACAGACAGCACCAGCACTTTGCAATGAGGTGATTCTGCTAGCAGTTCGGCAAGAGGTTGTATTTCTCCAGAAGCTGCCATAATAATCCATTGTTTGCCAAGATGCATCATCGTCATATGATGCGTGATGCATGCGGATATAACTTGAATGAAGGTATTTATTTGTGGGCCGCCACGGGAGGCCTGAGGGGTGAAGGCAGAGTGATAACGCAAGTAGCTGATGAGAATGTGAACTCTTCTGCTTCAACTTCACACTTGAATAGTTTCATCAGCTCCGTCAAACTGATAAGTTTCTCACATTACTTTAATAGAAAACTTTGAAAAGTGTGTGGGAAGTGTTTGTCCTGAACGAAAATGTCATRTGTGAAAATTGGAAGTTGTGATTTTTGTTTTTTTAATTAAAAATATTCGCTTTCTCTCGTTTACATTACTCTCAACCCGATGCATTGCCTAATGGAAAGATGTAAGTAGCAAGACCAAGCCATCTTGTCCATTTTTAAAAAATCATTTCATTCRTGAGCTGCATAGAAAATATTTTTAACATCTAGAAAGTTATTTCTTATCCTGCATCCTCGCATTTTAGATGTAGAGCTTTGGGATAATATGACAATCTTGTTTTCTGACAGTATGAAACTACMCAAGTTAATTATTCACTGTGCCAACACACAGTCTCAGGGGAAATAAATGTGAAAAGTGGGGATTTTCGGCAATAAGAGGTGGATTAGTGCTTAGAGAAAATAGATGTGAGGTTAGGAGAAGCATTAGCCTTTCAAAATGGCAGGTAACTCCAAATTCCTAGAAGATTTCAAGGCCAATTCTGTAGATAAGAAATACATTTTCTCAGATCACACTTTGAACCAGTGAGTCCTAACATGCAAACTGAACACGTAAACCATAATATATTTCATTTACTATCAGCACCTCTCTGGAGTCACTGCTGCCGCCCTCACCAGACGGGGACTACCTGACCTTCTCCCACCCCGCTTAGTGTTGCAAGCACCTGCCCTCCCCATTCTGGAGATCAAAGCAAACCACCTCTAGCTGCATTGCTGACAGTGGAGAAACATGATACAGTCTTTTCCCACCAGCATCATAATGACTCATGTTTTCCTCTGGTCTTTAGCAAATCCTTGTTTTATTTTCTTTGGCCAAACTTAGTGAATAGAGTCTTTCTTGAATCACTTTTTCTGTGCAGCCTGACTAGCACCTAAAAAGGTGATAGTGCAGATCAGTGCCTGGGGTTGTGTTTCACACTGCCTCCTGTTTCAGAGGAGCTGCGTGTTCCCAAGCACTGCTCTGTCCCCGGCSTTCTCCCTTTTGCATCTCATGAAAGCAGAATGCTTAAGTCATCAGAAATGTCCCCTTAACGGAGACACAAGTGACCTTAAAAAAAATTAAAAACTAACCTCTCCCCCAACACCTCAAAAAACAGATACTCTGTACTCCACCATACGCGAGACATATGGGAACCTGGCATCGGTTTTGACTGATGGGCACTTAACTCAGGCTGAGGATTAATGTCTCCCTTCTTCCTTGCTCCGCCTGAGTGTTCCCACTTACTGCTGTACGTGTTTATCGGTGGCAGTGGAGGTGATCTGGGGGCCTCTGACACTAGATGGAGCAGGACGCTGAGCTCAGTGCCAGCGCGGGACACCTTCGTGAGAAGTTGTCTCCGTTCACTCAGTGCCGCTTCTTTGTTTCTCCAGGTGCAAGTTGAACACTTCCGTGCAGAGGAGTTGACAACGTGTGCTGCAATAACGAGTCCTAAAGTTGTCCCCTTGTACGGAGCAGTGAAGGAAGGGCCTTGGGTGACAATCTTCATGAAGCTCATGGAGGGTGAGAAAGGAGAATCCCAGTGGAAGCGCCATTGTAGTTGTCAAATGCAATGGACCTTGATCTCCTCTCCCTCTTGCCCCAGTTTTAAATCTTTTAACCCGTTGGTGTATCCAGACTGTTCCTAGCGTTAATTCCTGAGTGGGTTGGCGTAGGTATGTATTGCACCCACTGCTGTTTAGACGTGATCATTTCTGAGAGGAGCCATTTCTCCCCTTTCCCCTCTCCCCCGCTGAAGATAAATATCTCTTGGTCACCAGCTAAAAGTACYCTACGTATAGGGGTGTATTTACATGGTACCTATAAAGCACGTTGTACTGTGGCAGGGAGTGCAGTGTAAGCAAACCTAGAAACATCCGTTGCCTGAGGCATTTTTCCCCCAAGCAGGACCATGGAAAGCAGAGCCTTGGAAGGGTCAGCTGAGTACTGTCTAGAAGTGCTTCATCTGATCACAGGGAAGTTGCTTCTGATACTAAGCAAAACTCTTAAACTTTTGCTAAGCAAAAGGCTGCCTGAAAGCGTCTGGTTTCCATGTATAATCCCAAAAGGTTTGGGATTATARAGAGGGAACAGACCCATGCATGGAAGATAAAGACTGCCAGACCTGGCAGTTCTTGTTGCTCTTTTGAACAGAATGAAAACTGTTGATGTTGCTGAGAAGTATTTAACAGACAGGCTGACATGAAGTGTCTGGATTTTCTTCTGACGTGAGCGCTGTGCATTTTCTTCTAGGTGGCTCGCTGGGCCAGCTGATTAAACAGAGCGGCTGCCTGCCAGAGGACAGAGCTCTTAGTTACCTGGGCCAGGCTTTAGAGGGCTTGGAGTATCTTCATGCTCAAAACATTCTTCATGGTGATGTAAAAGGTAGAATGCTACTTAACGTATATTGTTATTTCTTTCCTTTGTCTTAAAAAGGAACGAACTGCTTGGTGATAAAGAGTTAGGTAGTGGCTGAAAGGTTTTAGTAGGTAATCTGCTCTGCAATTCAGATTGAGCTTAATTTTATTTTAAAGAGATGGCCATATAATATTTGTCAGCTCATTCTCTCTGTCGTCCAGTGGGCCTGACAGGCTGTTTGCCCAGTGTACCCTCTCCCTTGGGACAGAGGAATCCCTGGAGCAGAGAACTGGTAGTGCACAAGTCAAGATAGTTCTAGCTGGATAGGTGCTGAAGCCAGTCGTGCTCGATGAGATTATTGGATCTTAGTGTGCACTCAGCAAAGACCGTAGCTCTATGGGCTTGGGATGTTTTTTTTCCTTATGAGTGACTACAATAATAGGACTCTAATTTAAAACCTCTTTTCGAAGCGGACAATGTGCTCTTATCTGATGATGGAAGCAGGGCTCTTCTCTGCGACTTCGGACACTCTGCTCACCTTCACCCAGACAGCTTGGGAAAGTGCCTGGTCTCGGGTAAGTTTGCTAAAGAATTGCTGTCTGTTCTTTTTGCTTCTGTTCCTCTCGAACATTTCTGCCTGGCTAATTTGCAGGCAATTGTGTTTCCAGACGTACGTTGCTCGTAGTGTTGCCCTCATTGATGTATCCCACTGCCAGCCAGGATTCATTTAGGATTGGAACTTGGTCGTTATCTCTGTCCAGAAGGCGGCTGTTTTCTGTAAAACCCTGTCAGCAATGCTGTAGTCAGTGTTTTGTCCCTGCAAGAGGTCACATCCACACTTCTGGGATGAGAATGACTTGGAGATGTGGCCTCTGGACAGCTGAGAGGAGCATGGGATGCTACTTTTTGTGTTAAGGTGGCTTTTATGTCACTTTTTCAGAAAAAAAAAACAATTAGGCTTATTAGCAGTTACAGTGGAACAGTTCTCTCTTCTGTTCTGAACAGAAGTTCAGTGATTATCTTTTGATTTGCCATCGGGATTTTAGGGAACTACGTGCCTGGCACAGAGACTCACATGGCTCCAGAGGTGGTGATGGGGAAGCGCTGCGACTCCAAGGTGGATGTCTGGAGCAGCTGCTGTATGATGCTGCACATGCTCAACGGGTGCCACCCGTGGACCCAATATTACAATCACCCCCTCTGTCTAAAGGTAAGTGACCCAAAATAGCTCCAGTGCAAGGGACTTAAGCTGGGAAAACCTAATTTTACCAGCGAGACAGTCACTTCAGGAAGGCTGTCTGAGAACCAGATGGGCATCCAAGATGGCACAAATCTTGCTTTGGGAGCTGATCATTTCTGATTCCCCTTGAAGTGCCATGGGTTATGATACTAGGGCTTTTTTTCCCTCCTCCTTTATCCTGCTCATGACTTGAGTGTGACTTCGTAGCCATTTAGTAATAAAATTACTACTCAGGTCTTTGATTCTGTACCTCAGAGATGTCTCATTTAATGCCATAATTTCAGTTGGAAACTCTCAGGATGGGAAGAACCTTTCTGAAAACAAACAAGGCCTCTCTGCTCTAACCTCTTTCACTTCCTGTTTGTTACCCAGATAGCAAAGGAGCCACCTCCTCTGAGGGAAATTCCGCCTTCCTGCAACCCTCTCACTGCGGAGATTATTAAAATGGGCCTGGAGAAAGAGCCTGTTCAAAGAGCATCTGCGTCTGAACTGAAAACTAAGACCACGGTTGCACTTGAAGAAGGTAAAAGTGTCCTACCTTTAAAGCTGCTCCCGCACCCAGGTAAAGCAGGCAGTCACCAGCTGAATAGTCCTGTGGAGGATATCAGTGTGTCTGAGGTGTGACCATGGCCTGGGCTCGTGTTGAGTTGAAATGTCTTCTGCATCTGTTGAGCTGAAGTCTTGAATTCAGCAAAACTGGAAGAAAAGAGAAAAGTTTATTTGATCCTTGACTGTAGCTCATGTTTGTGGTCAAAGCCTTCCCTCTGTCACTCTTCAAATTTATTTCAACATAATTCTGTGTAGCAAGAACTTACAGACAAGGTCTGCTCTTCTTTTGATGACCTGTGTTTTACAGTAAGGTGCAACTCAGAAACTCACATTTACTGCCAAAAATGACTTTTGCTTTTTCTTTTTTCTCTATGCTAACGCTTGTCTCCTTTCTGTTATTGCAGTGGGAGGCGTGACAAGCCCCTGGAAAGGTGAATACAGAGAGCCCAGACATCTGCCTTTAAACAAAGAAAATAATCAACAAGCCTCCCTGTCCCCCAGAGTSAGCCCAGTTTCTGAGACTGGTTCCGACCCAAAACTATCAGGGAAAGTTTCTTGTGCGAGACCAGATGTCCCACCCCCATCTCTGGAGCGAACAGAGGAGGTCGAGGGAACCCCTTGGAACCTGTGCAAGGAGTTACCGGGGATCTGGGATCCTGCACCTCTCTCTTCTTTGGCTCCTCTGCCCCTGAAGAGCTGCAGTCATGCAGAGAAAGTAACAACCATCTCAGAACAAGAGCTTCAGCAGCTAGAAATAGGTGAGCAAGATGGAAAAGGAATTCAGCTTTTCAGTTGGAAATATCATAAAAATGCAATGCGTTTCATTTGCTTTCCTGACAGTTATTTMTCTAGATTGTAACAGAGATAAGTCTTTCAGATGGGAGACATCAAACAAAGCAGCTAAGTTGACCTCAGTCTGCAAATGTTTTGTTGTGGGCTTTGGAAAACCCATATCCACCTACCAAGGAATTGGGTTAGCAGCAGCTATAAAAGCTCAGTGTGAAAATGAGTAAAGTTCCAGCTCAGTTTGGCTGCCAGAGAACACCTCAAACTTTCATTTCCTTATCCCATMTTTTCTTGTCTTCACAAATAAATAGGAAAAAGTTGTCTTGAAGTGCAACAATTCCTACAGAATTGAGGAATGATTACCTGCATTTTAGGGGTGGCTGGGCTCTTTGTCAGGTCTGTATATTCTCAGTGCAAGTTACTGCTGGAGTTGAAGAGTTAAGTTTATCTTTTCCTGGATATGATGCAGTTGGATCTAGAGTGAAGACTGATGGGTGGCGTAATAGGCAAGAAACAGGAACTTCTGGGTGCTCATGCTATCCTGGCTCTGAGTTGCTGCATGTCATTGCACAAATTCTGTCGCTTTGGGCTCCATTTCCCTATTTTCACAATGTCAACAATAGCCTCTACTTCCCAGGAATGGTGTGTCAGGTATTTTACAGACACTAATGTCAGCGTAGATGGGATAATGCTGAGAAACCTTTGGGTATTACTTGCAGTAAACTGCCTTTASAGCAGGAAGTATGAAAGGAATCACTGCAAAATGTCTCTCTTGTCTCCCTTTTGCTTGCAGAACTGTTCCTGAACAGCCTGTCACAGCCTTACTCGCTGGAGGAGCAAGAACAAATGCTTTCGTGCCTCAGTATCGACAGCCCTTTTGTGTCGGATGCCAGTGAGAAGGTGAATAAATGGGCACTACTGTTGTTCTTGTGGGTTTGCAGGGTGGCAGGGGAACCRCCTCCGGGACGCTGGCAGCTCCAGTCCTTGGACGTCTGGAGCTTCTCAGATCTGCCGTTGCTTTCTGGTGCCCGGATTGCTGGAGAGCGCCGGGGAAGGAGTTTGTTGTTCCAGAGCAAGAGGATATTTAGGATTTTAGTTGTTCTTTAGTTTGACATCTGACATGGATCCACTTCCAGTTGCTCTCGTGCGCTGTGTTCTCACAGTAGACATCRAGCTTGTGGATCTGAGAACCTCAGGGCCTTGCCCGTGTCCGTGCAGGACCAAGGAGCAGCAAGATGAGCTGTGGGCGCGGGATCCGCGCTGAGCGGCACCCAGACCTGGGGCCCGTGTAACCCGGGAGCCTCTCCCTGCCAGTGGCCACTTAAGGAAGGGGCAGAAAACACTGACCCTCCTCTTGGACACCCTCTGCCAGCCTATGGATCTGTCCTCCATGAGCTCATTTTTAAATCTTTCATACTTAGGACCTAGCAGTGCGTTTCTTCCATAGTAAGTTTAACTAATTATTTTGTTTGTCTTAGCCATGGTGTTTATAAGCTAGAGAATATCCCTGAGAAATAGCAAATGGGCCGTGTTGAACGAGAGAAGCCTGTAATTTCATTATAAATCCCTCAGCCAGTGTTCTTGAAGTCTCAGGGTGCTGAATTATGTGACCTGTCACCTGTGAGGGTCATTTAGTACTGTGATCATCTTCTCCTGTTCCCGTTTCTCTTCTCAGCCCTGTGGCGGGTGCTTTAGGCTTTCCCAACTAGTACAGCAGCTTCGAGACCCTGGTTGTATGTGCAGATTTAATGAGAGGGTTTTGCCCTTTYTATTGTTGTTGTTTGGTTTTGTTTGGTTTTGTTTTCCCTTTGTGTTTTATTTGTCACTTACTGACATTAGACTTTTTTCTGCTGCTTTATTCTGCCACTCAGTATGACGAACCCCCACCTTCCTCCCCCCTTCAACTCTTCAGTCAGCTCCTGATTTGACTGTTGTAAATAGCTTTGTACATCTGCAAACTGTTGCATTATTATTCGTCCCCTTTTATAGATGGCAGGTAAATGCTGAATAATTTAAATCCCCRTCTATATCCCTGTGGATTTCTACTGTTTTCTTCCTGGGGTCAGTCCCATTTATTATCTCCTGGAAGTCCATTTTCTTTAGGAGCCTTTGGCAAATTTGTTCTTACTTCTGCAGAACTCCCTGAAGGCTTCTCAAAGCTTGAGGGACACCATGAGCTCTGGGATTCATTCCTGGAACAGCCAGACAGACGGACAGAGTTTCAGTTGGAACAACCTGCTGAATCGCAGCCGGCACACGGACACTCCCAGCTATTTCAATGGTGAGTCTGCATTTCAAAGCAGTGAATTAATGGTCAGCCCCCCATCCCCTCAAGAAAAGGAGGGTCTGGAATATGGGTCTTGGAGTTCTTCCTCCCCTTCAGTTACTTTGTCAGATATAGACCCTGCTAAAAGCACTTGGGCTGTCAAGATGCCAAGTCTGCCCAGTTGTACATGGGTGGAAGGCACTCAAGCCCGTATAATGTAGTGAGAGAAGAACCTCCTGAATCCAGAATGATGCAGCTTTATGCCTTGCCTGGTGCACAAATATATCCTTTACAACGATAAGCTTCTGCAGAGTAGTCTTACGGGCAGGTTTTGCTAATCAGTATGTCTCTTCAGCTGCTTCCTCACCAAATCCAGCTCTTTGTGAGTTGTTGTTGTCTTTAGCAAGCCTCCATGCTCAGCTAAGGAATACATGCATAAAATGCTTGCAAAAAAAAAAAAAACAAAAAAACCCCAAAACAACTCTTCTGATGCCTGTATCTTGATAGCAATTTTTTCCGTGCTGGACTGTGAATTAGTTCCTCACCAAATCCAGCTCTTTGTGAGTTGTTGTTGTCTTTAGCAAGCCTCCATGCTCAGCTAAGGAATACATGCATAAAATGCTTGCAAAAAAAAAAAAAAAAAAAGAACCCCAAAACAACTCTTCTGATGCCTGTATCTTGATAGCAATTTTTTCCGTGCTGGACTGTGAATTAGTTCTGCTTACAGCAGAAATTAATGACTTCTCCGGCACATTTCAGGAGTGAGAATCCAGATTCAGTTGCTAAGTGGAGAAAATCTACACATCAGGGATTTCCACAGGACGAAGGTGGGAGACATCGCCACCGGGATAAGCAGCCAGGTGAGGCACAGAGCTGAGCACTGCTTGACTATTGCACTTGGGGTCTGGGAAGAAATTTCTCCTGCAATGCAGCCTCACAGTGTCTTAAAACYAGTGATCGATTCCATTCAGAGACACTAACAGCGCATTCAGTACCTGGATTTCAGTGCTGTTGTCATGGGTGTAGGGCCAGAAAGCATTTCTGAATCATGAGCCGGTGCCTTTTGTCATAGGGACCATAGCTGTTGCTCAAAAACCCTTTTCTCTGACGAGAGAGAGAGATTCTTTCCCTTATCCCTAAAGAAAAGCAAATAATGATATGGCTTTTCCTCTAAAGCAGTTACATCAGCAAAAGAAAGGTGTTTGTTTGGGCTGTGGTGCCGCTGTCTCCTAAGGTTGGGTAGATGTTGGCCGACTCCAGGGGACGTCACTGTGGGCCTTCTGGGCAGTTCCTCAGAGCCTGCCAGTGCTTTGGCACCAAGACTAAGGCAGGTGGAAAACGCAGAGATCCTCACAAAGAGGTCGCAGAAGCCCAGAATGTGTCTTGTTGCTGTTGCTTCTCTTTGGCAAACGTCCYTCTCCTGGAGGTCACGAAGCAAACTCTCACTAGCCCACAAAGGAGTCCACAGTGCCCAAASGCAGCAGTGCAGCCGATGAACCACCGGCGATGGCCAAACCAAACCCTGGTTCAGCAGTGGAGGGATGTGAGTCCAGGTCCCGAGATATTTTTTTCTCAGGGAAAGCCGGTGCGTTTGATGAGCACAAGCTCCTCTCTCCCAGAGCTTCTTGTGGCTTGGGAGCTATTTGCCAGTCACGCTCTTTGCTAGTGGATGTTCTGCTAGGTGCTGAGGGACACCTCAAGAGTCACTCGGCTCTGTTCTCCTTCACAGATACCAGTGCCTGCCTTCAGCCTGGTGACCAAGGAAGGCTGCCCGGTCCACTATGACATGGAGGTGCCCGACTCCGGGATCGAGCTGCAGTGCACGCTCGCCCCCGACTGCGGCCTCAGCTGGACGTGGAGAGTCAAACACGGGCAACTGGAGAACAGGCCGTGAAGTTACTGCTGCTTCGGAGGTTTTCACCTGTGGAAATASGGAATTGCAAAAGCTTCCGAGCGCCTCTGCCATCAAGCACCACGTGCGGGTGCTGGTGTTTTGTGCTGAAGTAGGATAGCGGTTCAGCAGCTCACTGCTCTAGGGCCTCACTTCTTGTCGTCTGTCCTGATCTGGTTCCAAGAGACGTCCTGAGCACCGATGTTCCCCGGAACAGTGGGAATGGTTTGGTTGCGGCTGAGTGTTAGATTGAGCTTGAAAACAGCAGGTCGAAGTCCCTGCTTTGCAGAGGACTGTGGCTGTGCTTTCCAGGAGAGCACAGGGGCTGGACGGGGACACTTGCTGCTCGGCCTCTGAGGTGAAGGCAGTAGCGAGTGGCCTCGCTAGGAGAAGGTCGAGAATCCTGAGCGCAGCTGTTTGTGCCGAGGGCGGCTGCCGACTTCCTCGCTGGAGGAAAAGCCAAGTGCTCTGTAGGCTTTGGCAGCAGCATCTCTACCTGCCGCCTTTTGCATGGGRAAAGTTGAAAGCAGTAACGAGCCGGGTTCTGGGTTTCACCTCCCACCCTTCCCCGCAGATGCTTCCGTCTCGCATCAGAAGAGACCTTGGTTCCCAGAAAGAGCTTTGCTTGCAGCCTCGGTCTTCATGTCCCCTCCCCGCCTCGGGAGCTGCCGCCTCCCTCGCTGGTGCTGGTGCCGACAGAGGGAGCAGAACTCTCCAGGAGGCTGAGCGGCGTGAGGCTCAAGTAGGAAGGTTGTAATCAGTGGTGGAACGGTTAGAGCAGGAGGGCTGTGCCGATTCCTTCCTGTTTGCAGCACTCCTGCTGCCTGGCTGCGGCTTTGCTCCGGCCGTCCACCCAGCTCCCCCTGCAGGGAGAAGGATCAGGAGCTCTCACGTTTAGACAAGGTCTGAATTTTGCTGCTGCATTAAAAAGGAATATCCGGAAAAGAACCRTCATTCCCAGCTCTCTGCGGGAGCTGGGTGCCCGGCAGGTGCCCGGCTCCGCGCGGGGCGGTAGCCGGGCCCATGCTCCCCAGGCCTTGGCACGGCCCCCTCTGCGGCCCGGCCTGCTCGGGGCGCTGCCCGCACGGCCGCCTCAGCACTGCTGAGTTCTACCCATTTGAGCACTGCTCTGTGCCGCTTTGGCACGTGCTGAGTTTGCACGTCCAGGCAGGCGAGTGTTGCTGGCCCTCCTGTAGCCCAGGAGAAGAGCGGAGGAGGCCGGAGCTCTGAGCGTGCGCGCGCAGGGCTGCGGTGGCTCCTGTGCGCTGGGGCTCGCTGTGYCCGTCACTGCCGGTGCAGCAGCCACCGGGCACGCGTGGCTCCCCCAAGCAGGGAGAGCCTCCCGCGAGCGAGGCAGGCCCTGCTGCATCCGCGCTGCTCTCGGGGCACGGGGAGGCAGGAGTGTCTGCGGGTTCCAGGAGTGAAGTTCAGCTATGAAATAGTTGGAAAAAAACGTACTTTGGGCCTCCTGTTTTGAGTGGAGGACTGGAGTTTTGTTGAGCGCCCGATGTCCTTTCCCTCTGGTCTCCAGAACATTGGCTCTTTCCTGCCATCCTCGGCGGTGGCACCAGCACACTGAAGCTGACGTGCAAGAGGAGAGAGGAGCCCGTGAAGGGACCTGTCGCCACTGTGTAGTTTTTATAGCACTTTTTGTTCTAAAGCACTTAAGAGGTTGTCCGAAACGGGCACTGATGCCAGCTGAAATGCAGCCACGTGGAGGGTCCTGTTCGTGAAGGGTCGCCACGTTGCCCGCATGTCCTGCGGGAGCGGGGTGAGGCGCTGGGAAGGTTGGCACAGGCACCTTTCCTGGGATCAGGCACTTCCCACGCCTTGCACCTTCCTCAGCTTCCTCTGAGGATGAGGAAGAGGAGAACTGCTGGGTGGTTCTCAAGAAAACAGTGATGAAAGAGGAGTCCCTTAGTGCCGCACGGCCACGGCTCGCAGCCGGCCCGGCGCTGGCTCCCGCGTGGCCCAGCCGCCCCGGTGCCCGCCCCGGTGCCCGCGCGCCGCCCGCGCAACGGGGCCCACGCTCCCTGTAGCATTAACGCTGCTCTCCGCCACCGTGCGCACTCACCAAGGGTGGCTGCAGCCTCGTGGGCCCCCGCGGGCCCCGCGGCGGCTGCACGGAGACCGTTTTGTCCTCACGCCAGCATTAGCCGGTATCGCCATCCTGTTTGTTTTGTCAAAAAAAAAGAAACCCCTGTTTTGCCACCCTTTCCAATGGGAAAGCRAGGCGGCAAATTCCCAGCTCCTGCGGTGGGGGGTGAATGGGCTGCGGTGGCAGCTGCCCCTGCTGGGGGGAAAGATGCTTCAACTGCCACCACAAACCGCTGGAGCTCTGTATCCCTAACTGTGGTTCTGCTCCCGCACGCAGCCCCAGGGTTTTAATGTCTTCTTTCCATCTCTCAGCTTGGGATCTCCTTGGCTCCTTCCTGTTGCCAGGACAATTTTCCTGTTAATTTGGCTGGTCGTTTTTTGCTGTGATGGGCAGGAAAAAAAACCCTCCAGGTACAGGCTGGCTGTGCAACAGGGCCAGGAGAGAAAGTCAGGGAAGCTTTTTGTTATTCACCTGAAAATTTAGTTGAAACTGTGCGAATAGCATAATTATTCTTCAGGACAGAACCACAATTCAGAAAAGGGAGGATCAATAGCAGCAATAGTGAGCGGAGTGCTGGCTCCTTCCRGAAGTGTTTGGGGAAATGACCTTGCTGTTGGCAAAGCAGGACGGAGCTGATGATGGTTTTGGGGTGAGCAGAGCTGGTGCTGGGAGGCAGCAGAGTGACTCGCTGGTGTTGAATGAACGAATGACACTTTATAAAGCTGTGATTTCTTGGAMTTAACATTTCAACTTGTGTTTTCACGGGGGGGAAAAAATGGAGAAAAAAAAATAGAAAAGTTTCTTCATTCTTGTCGCCGCTTGTTTGACTCCTTGTCCCGAAGAACGCAGGATGCGGCCAGACCGAAGCCTTTTCCCTGAGGTCCCGGAGCCTCTGGGGGCTCCCGCGGGCAGCAGGAGGCCCTGGGAGTGCGGAGGAGACGGCGGCCGCGAGCGCAGGGTGCAGCATTGGGGTGCGTTGGCCTCCCCAGCACCCCAGCACCCATGCCGCCCTGCGCCCCTGCCCGCCGGGGCTGGCGGAGCCCCGCGCTCGTGCGGCGCACGGAGCGGCACTGCTCTTCTCCCCCAGCCCGTGACCGACATGCGCAGGGGTCGGGGCGCCCACCAGCTCCCCGGAAACCCCTGTGGGGAGAAGCGGGGCCCGGGAGGAGCCGCCGCTCCTGCCCTTTCCCTCCTTCGGGCTGCTGTGCCGGAGCGGCGGGTTGAGCATCCCTGAGGGCGCCCGAGCACCAGCCGCGCTCGTGGGCAGCGTGGGCACCACGGGCTCTCCCCGCATCACTGTTTGAATGAGCATTGGCCCCACGCGCTGCTAAAGGGCTGCTCGCCCTGGCGGCAGCTCCTGATCCAGGGGAAGAGCCCGAGAGGCCCCAGYGCCCCGGGCCCGCTCGCAGCATCGCCAGCCTCACCCCTTCCCACGGAGCAGCCCTTTATCCTGGCAGTTGGTTTATTATCAGCTCTGCTGTAGATTAAACAGGCCCTCTGTATATAAAAATACTGTGTACAAAGTAGCAGGTAATGTTTTACATTTCTGGCTTAAAGGCATTTATAACTTACACGTTCATTTCCCTCCCCTCCCCGCGGAGCTTGCGGATGGGCTACGGAGCCGGCGGCGTCGAGCGTCTTAATTACAGCGCGAAGCGATGGCTGCTCCGGCCTCGGAGCTGGGCCCGGGGCGGGAGGCCGAGGAGGYGCCGCTGCCGCCCGCGCGGCCGTTCCCGTGCGCCGGGGCCTGCTCCCGACGAGGCGAAGCCGCAGCGGGAGCTCCCACCGCGGCCCGGCCCTGCGGAGCCTCCCATTCCCTGCTCCAGGTGGGAGCCGGCTGAGACCTGGCCTAACTCACAGGGGCCAGTCCCTGCTGTCCTGCCTAGCACAGGGAGAGGCTTGAGGAAGACATTAAAAAACCCAAGTGGGGGCTGAGCCCCCATGGCAGCGCCGGGCAGGGCCACGGGCTGGGCAGGCAGGATGGGCAGCACCGAGGGGCGCGCGGGCAGGGCCGGGGGC